AAGGGAAAGCTGCCCCTTCTCACAGGAGAAGCTGCAAAGCATTAGGCTGGCTTGCGACAGCTACCTCCCCCTAACCTTCTTCTAACTACTAATAGATAAATACCTGACAGTTGCAGAATTTGTTGGTATCTTTCATCTAAAAGTGAAGCATGGATACTTTCAGATTGGGGTTTCCCCATGCTGCATGGAAGTCTGAGTTCTAGCTCCTACGTGCAGCCCCTGGCCCTTGTCCAGTGTGTGTCCTTGTCATTGACCAGTCTCCTGCATCCCAGCTGGTGAGCTGAAGGCATCCCAAAAAGCAGCTCTAATGAGCTTGGGTAAAGCCTCACCTAGCTTGTATAGAAATTAGTTTTATTGTTGACCAAAAGTTTGCCCCAGACGGTATCTTTTTTTTGCACTGGGGCTGAATGGACAGGCAGAAGGCCTGAAAAGACAGCATTGCAGAACTACCTGAGCAAAAGGCATCTAGACAGACGCGTGGATGTGTGTTGTGGTTTGAGGCTTGGAATGGGGGCGTGACCTTCCAGCAACTGGGAGGACCCCGGGTGGGGGTGAACCATTGTATTCCCTCCCCTTCCCACACACACTCTGATAAGAGGCAGGGAGTGGTTTCTAATTTCACTTCTGCCTTGGAGCTCAGAGAGGGAGGTTGTCCTTGCACTCCGTGGGACCTTGCAACTTGCAACAAAGGGTTTTGTATATTTTCTTTTTTGTACTTTTCCCCAAATCTTTGTATATATTATTTTCCTTACCTCCCTTTTTCGTTTTCTGTTCCTTGTTAAACAATATACTTCATTTTATTCCAAAGTGTCTCTCTCTCTCTCTCGGGGGGGGGAAGAGGCGAGTACATAGTTCTGTTCTGTGTGGGTCCTGCCCTGAACCCCTTTTTACACGGAACCAGGACACTGTGTTATCCTGAGAACAGGATCAGCAGGCCTAGTTTTCTCATTGCTGCACACGCTTGTCTCTAGCCAAGCATGGTAAGTCAAGGTTCAATATGTACAGATTAGAAATGGTTAACATTTTTGTTTATGGTTGATAGGGAGAACAGAGAAAGGACTGAGTCCATGTCTTGCAATGTACCTAAGCCTATGTTCAAAACAGGTACTGGCCGATTCCATGTGTTCTTGCTTTCAGATGGTATTCCCTATTAGCATTAATTTGGAATGTAAATAATGTGGATATTCAAATTGGTTTTAAATTATGATTCTGTGTCAAGCTTCTTAATACTAAAAAAAAGCCCCCAAGTTCTGTGATTTTTAACAAGATACTAGTTTTAAATTAAACAGTTTTCCTACTGTGCATTTGAAAGTGATTGAGCAATTTATAGTCATGATGAAAACGTAATGTTCCTTTTTATTCAAAGCAGTTTAGCATAAATATATTGCCACACATCGAACCTGGCAAGCAAATCTCCAGGTCTTTTGAAGTTTTGAGGATGGAAGAGCTGTTGCAACATGACTGATGGGAAGCCTAAATATAAGGTGGCCAAGAAAATGAAATTGAAGGAGTATTGTAATGATAGACATAGTGTTATGTGTGGTTTTGTAAAGGTATAAGGAAAGATCATTATATCTTACTAATCTGCGTAGTCTGGTGCTGCATATCATACTTCTTCAATAGTAGTGACAGCACAAGCAAGTGCCGAGTTGAGTCTTAGTACAAAAGAAAATGGTGATAGTGGGATTGGATGATCTGATGTGGGGTTTTTTCCTTATCAATACTTATTTTTAAGTACATCTTTAAGCATATATGTGGAAAAAAGCATATGCTTGTCCCACAGCAAACAGCAAGCTGTGTGACGAGTAGCATCATCAGGGAGGTCCAGACTTCTAATGTAATTCAGGTTTGGTGCGAGGGGGTGATGAAAATAAAACCATATATTGCATGGCCAAGTATAGACAACAGTAGCAACTACTTTTAAATACTATTTATTATTTTAAATTTTTTTTTTTTAAATGAACCAAACCCAAATATTTGAAAGAACAACTAGTGGACATGATTGTCTGTCTCATGGAGCATGTACCTGTAGAGTGTGGCATAACTATCTCCTGGAGGAGGATTTGATCCAATTCTCATTTTATGGTTTGTTTTCTGTTTGTATTTTTTTTTCAGCCAAGCCTTTAAAAACAAGTATAAGAACACTGGAAGCTATATATCACTGTGTGTATATAAATTTTACTGGTCTGTGGACAAAATACTGGTATAAACATGTACTTAATTTTTGATATGCTTTATACTTTGTAGTTTTCCTAGGTGTTTCCATATTTTCCTACAAAAGGAACTGTTATCCATAAGTACCTGCTGCTGCACTGTATAGTGCAAAATGTGTAGGAACACTGAAGCTGTTTTAAGTAACATAGATAAGGTACCAGAAACCTAGAAAACAGACTAACTCAGCCTCTTCAGAGGACATCCCTAAGGATCTGCTAACCTGATACTAAACATAGTCTGCATGCCAGTATACAGTGTGGTGCAGACCTGACTTCAGAGAAGATTTAAACTAAAATCTTTGTGTAAAAGTGGTTGAGTATAATATATACTTTATTTCATTGTAATGGTGGAAAAATCAGCTGGCACTTTTTCTACGTGATGACATTTAAAACTACTTCAAGAAACAGCATGACTCTGTGCTATTAAGCATCACTTTGCATTTCATTCTTCATGCTTGTGACTTTAATTCTTGCTGCCATTCAGTGATGCAGCAAAGCCTCAACAGTGTTGTTTTCTGAAGGTCAGTGTAGGAAATTGATGAATGAGTTCTGGATATCCTCAGGTTGTGAGGATGGCATAACTGTTACATCCATCAGTTGATTTTTCATCACTACAAAATGAAGAAGTCCACACTTAGCAGTGGTTAGTGCAGCCTTTCTCTTCTAACTTCATCATCTTTTCAGAGAGTACTCCTTTTGGTGTAAAGCAAATATTTGTTTTGGTGAAGACAGGGCAGTGTTTGGGGAGTTTTGGTTTGTATTGTGTTTTTTGGGTTTGGGATCTCTTTTGTGACTGGAAAGCCCAGACTGGAGTTTTTTGGGATTCTATTACAGGAGATTTTTTAATTCATTTCACAGTATTCAAATCTTCATTTAAAAACAAGCTTTCCTTTGCCTTCATTACTAGTATATTTGTTAAAAAGTCTTTAGTGTGCTGTGTTGTTTTATTTTATATTTAAAAAAAAAAAGTGCTAGCATTTTTTTTCCTTTTGGAATATTGAAATTAGTAGTGTTTTTATTGATATTTACAAACATTTAGCTGAAATTATGCAGTTATCTGTCTTAATTGAGTAGAAATACACCATCTGCTGGCAGATAGGTTTAATAACACAGTATGCCAACTTAGAAATATCTCAAACTCAGTTTCTAAAGGTCAACAATTTTAGAGGTAATTCATAGTACTCTAAGTGGAGAGTTTTGTAAAAAATGTTTGCAGTTGTAAGTCTATAGTGTGGTGGTCAGTTGAGCCATATTTGTGGTCTGTGAGGGGATTTTAAATTGCTAGGACTTGTTTTTGTTCTTTTTTGGGTTGGAATTTTTTTTTGTAGTGTATTGCTTTTAGGCTGTGTGACTTACACAGATTAATTTTCAAGAAGAATTAAAACAACCATAAAGGAGTGGGAAGATACAGGAAGAATGAGCTCTTTGATAAATGGGGAGCAAAGGAGAGAAAAGTTAAACAAAATAGCACAAAAAAAAATAACGGTCCTAATGGTGAATGTACTTCCTGCAAATGCTGCAGTTATATTGAACAAACACTGAATTATTAAAGGATTAGTTCCCTGTATGAAAGCCACTTTCTGACTGTTTCTTTGTGCAGTTAGATGGTGAAGGCTCCAGCAGGTGGTACCTGGCATACAGAAGTATTCTAATCAAAATGGAATTCTCCTTGCTCCATGGAAGGAGGCTGCTGTGTTATGCTGCATAGATCTGCACCCCATTTGTCACTGGGGATAGAATGGCATTAGTGACTCTAATGGTTAGAGCCTTTCTCCTCTGATAACTTAGTAAGCAACTGCATTCAAATGGTTCCACAAACCACAGCTAAGAAACTGTCACATGTAGCACAGATGTAGTGATTTCAGCTTTTCTATCTGTATCTTTTTTTATCCATCTGGAAAGAGAAGACACAGGTAGGACGACCATGTCCTCTCTTGAGCATATAAACTGCTTAATGATATATTGAAAAAAACATTATTTCTTTGTGTAGAGATGACTTTCTGAAGAGGAAGTCTTTCATGCAAGCAGTGTGTTATACTGATGATTTTTGTATTAAGAGAAATTATATAACATTTATTAGCTGCCATTGAATAAAATTTTCTTTCTTTCTGCAGGAGTTACTAAGGTTGATTATGGGGACATATCATCACGACTTGGACTAAGACGCAAGCTCCAGTGCAAGCCTTTCTCCTGGTACCTGGAGAATGTTTATCCTGATTCCCAAATTCCACGCCATTACTTTTCTCTAGGAGAGGTAAGATCTTTACCCTACCTATTTATCTACGATATGCCAAGTACCTTGCACAGGAAGTTGTTTGTATTCTTTACTGAGTGGTGCAAAGAAGTCATCTCCAGCAAAGTTCAAGTGTGGCTTACACCTGTGTTCCTGGCATCTATAAAACGATGCATCAGGCTTCTCAATGGGGCAGAAAGCTGAACTTTAGTATACAGTAATGTAATTTAATGTTTTCCTATTTTTACTGCAGTACTAAACATCACATAGAAGGGATTTAAAAATACTTCTTCAGAAAGGTATAGCTATGGATAACTTTCCATATTATGTTCTCTAGGTAGAGTATGAGCAGAGGTTTGTGAAAAAAACTAGACCAGAGCAAGCAGGAGCTTTGCCTAAAAACCACTCTGAATCAACCCCCAGAATCCTCATCAGTGAACCCAGATTTATGTGGTTCCTAAGCCTCGCTGGGCATTTCTCTGTTATTTTTTTAAGTTTAAGTGACTGAAGAGGTAGTACAGATAATGCTGTCCTAAATAACTAGGCACCTACTCCCCTCTACAAGTCACATTGAGCCAAATATTGAGCCTTCTGTAGGGTGATTTTTTTTCTTTTGCTGTTTGCTTTTTGGAAGAAACACTTAACAAAAGGCAGCAGGCATTTGTGCTGCTGCGTGGCTGTTGAGAGACTTGGTACTTGCCTGCTTACTATATAGTAATACACGGATTAAGGCTGTAACTCAAGAAGTGAGGAAATTGAACCCAGTCACCCGTGGTTTCAAAGGGAATTAAACCCTGAGTGCATAGGAGAGTACTTTAATATCTCTGAAGGTTTTGGGCTGGAGACTCAATTGTGTCCATACTGTTGTAGTTGAGGCTTTGAGTATAGAATCTCACAAGTTGGAAAGATCCCTGAAAGAAAGCAGAGAAATAAGGTTCTGTAACCTGCTGGCTTGAATATTTGCACAGCAGTCTTGGACAGTGGGGTCTCATTGTAGTACAGTTCCTGCATATTACACTTCATTCACATAATCTCTGGTGTATAGCAGAGAACTGGTGCCAGTGTGGTTTGATATGGACCTGGTTCTTTTCGACAAATAACCTTTGGTGACATGCTCTTTTTCACTTCCAGATTAGAAATGTGGAGACAAATCAATGTCTGGATAATATGGCAAGAAAAGAAAATGAGAAAGTTGGAATCTTTAACTGCCATGGAATGGGTGGCAATCAGGTAACAATTCTTTAAAAAATTATCTCACTAAATTGAATTCTTTGGAACACTACTTTGCATTGGGACAATTTTTTGATTCAGTAGTTATCTCTGAAATATATTTACTTGTAAAGTTTAGGAAACCCTCACTGAAGAAGAGTGTAAAAGGAAATGCATGAGAAGATTTGTTTGTGGCTTGTCATTTGCTGGTTTTTGAGGCCTTATTGCAGTAGGTTTTACACCAACTTTCAAGTGAAAAATGAAATGTGGGAACGAGGAGACTGATGAAAGCTAGACTTTGCCTCCTATGGATTCTCTGGAACTGTCTTCTGGTTAGACCTCCTCCTCATTGACAATATTACCTTAAAGCATGCCTGTACCTGAAATGCTTTTTTTAACGTATATTTTTCTTGGTGTCAGTTCTGGAATTCATTTTGCATTTTTTTGTTCCTTGATAATTTTTCATGAATTGTTTTCCAGTATACAGGGGATCTTTGGGGATCTTCCTGTTTCTATGCAGGAAGCAGTTTGCAATTTAAAAAAAAAGTCAATTTTGACTGAAGAGCTTGTTCATACAGTGTTTATATTTATCCCATTTAAAAAAAAAATCCTATACATGGTGAAGGGAAAAGAAGAAAATCACAGTGGATATTTAATGAAATAATGCACAAATGTTCCTGCTTCCCCAGGAATCTTTTAGTTGAGCTATTTTTTGAGTTACACTTATTCTTTTTCTGTCTAGGTGTTCTCATATACTGCCAACAAAGAAATTCGAACAGACGATTTGTGTTTAGATGTATCCAAACTTAATGGCCCAGTAACGATGCTCAAGTGCCACCATCTAAAAGGAAATCAACTTTGGGAATATGATCCAGTGGTAAGTCTTCTAATGACTTGTGACATTAATATGAGACAACTTGGGTTTTTATTGAGTCTACAGAGCAACATATTCCAGTGTGGGAGCATTATATGACAGTCAAAACAAGACACAAAGTCATGAATGTATTCCTTTTGTTATTAATCCATGCTGTAGTCACTCAGTGGGCATCTGTATTGTGTTTATTACCTGGTGAGTTTTGTGGGAGCTTTTAGAAGAATATTTTCAGAGTGCTTTTGCATACGTTGGAGAAAGACAGTCTGCTAGTGTCGTGTTATGATGAGATCAATAGTAGAAGAGTATTCCAGGTATCTATGGGACCAGTAAAACATAATGGTAATGATCTTGTGACAAATTCAGCACGTGGTGTCTTACCTTGCACAAGGTTAAAAAGAAACACTTTTCTAATTAAAAAAACAACATCCCAAAATTATAAGGAAGACTTTATATTCGTAATTGTGGTATGTTTAAGGTAGAGATGCATAAAACAATTTTATTTTAATCATTCTCCTTCATGTACATAATGTTCAAATTTATTTTGAAGTTCAGATGTTGAATTGCCAGATCTAGAAATCATTAATGATGGATGGATCAACAGTCAATTTGATTTGCAAACTCTAGAACCAATTTTGTGATTAAATAAGTGCAATCAAGAAACCTAACTTATGTCCTGGCTGGTTAGAAAATGGTTACCAAGCTTGTTAATTTAAAATCAATTATTGCAGAAGATTGGAGAAAATTGTGGAAGAAGAATCTTACCAGTATGATCATGATGATTTTCATAAGAGAACATGTAGATACTAAGCTACATAAAACTAATTTCACTGATTTTAAAAAAGGAAAAAAAAAATAATTTAAAAGGGGAGTCTTCTAACTAAATAGACTTGCTATAGATTTTAGTATCTGAAGGGTTAATGAAACCTAATGAAGCCTACAGCTTTTAAGGAAAAAAATGTTTAAAGACTTAAAGGTAATATGTATGAGTGATGATTTTATGAGGACGGCAGTTAATGTGGAAGACAGTGGATCTCTACAATTTGCAACTTTCTGCACATTGCTAGCAATGAGGACCTGAAGAAGGCTGTTGAAGCCTTTCAGGATTTAATCTTAATGGAAATTATTAAATTTGACTCTAGGAAACCATTCATTATTGGTTTTGATCTACTTAATTTACCTGACTTAAGTAAGTAAGATGAGTAATATTACTGCGTGCAGTGATTCACCAAACAGCAAGTGTTTTTATTGTTTCTACCTTATCAGTGGTAAGAACAGTGCCTCTTCAGACACCTAATTTGCAATAGTCTGCCTTGTAATGATAGCAGTGACATCCCCCATGTCAATCCTCAGCTATAAATTTGGTTGTATGAGTTTTTTCTCTTCATTCTATCAGTGGAAAATATGGGTACAATCTGCAGATCTTTACAGAAAGCTAATTAATAAGTCACAAAAATAAGTTAAATACTTAACAAGATCTCCTACCATCTAGATAGGTGCCTTTTCAGTGGTGTTTTTTTTTTTCTTCTGCCTCTGTTCAGGAGGCACGTAAGAAGCCCCTTTCCCTTAATAACTACCAGGAAAAAATAAGAAAAGGGTGGGGTTTAGTGGTAGTTATTTGTCTACTTCAAAGCTGTTCCAACCTCCTCCTTCATTATTCTGCTGCTGTATGAGTACAGAAGGTGGATGTGCTCAGGTTTTTGTTTCTGGTTTGTTTTGGTTTGGGTTTTTTACCCTTTTTTGCTTATGCACATTATGCCTGCCTGTTCTGCCCCTTTTCAGTCAATCCAGTGTCCTGGTTGTGCTGCTGAGTGAGTGAAGGAATACTGCCAGTAGTGCCTGTCGGTACCATAGACGAGTTGATGCACTGATGAGTACCCATAGTTTTGTGGCAGGAAATGCAGCCACTGAAGCTCTCTTCTCCATGAGGGTAGTGCTGAGGTAGATGGAGGGGCGTATGGAAGGTTGCATCAAGAGAAGTGTG